GTGTACATGCGTTCATCTTTATTTTTGTGTGATAAAAACAGCTGAAAGGAAATAAATGCTGGAACAATGTTTAATGCTATACTTTGGAACATTTTGGGTAAAGCCATAACCTCTCCATGGAGACAAGCAGGTTGTGGTTCCCCATCAGAAAAGTTTGAGAGTAAGTGCTAGGGATGGGCATTCGATGAAATTTTCTTAATCGATCGTCGGAAGAATTAACGATCGATTATCGATTAATCATTAATGTTTTTATATTAAAATGATCATCATTATTATTACTATCTGCACTACTAATCTGCATAAATAAATTCAACTTTACGACATATAAACCGTAACGACTCTAGAGCCACATCAGCTGTTTGACATTATAATGTGTTTAATTCAGTTTTGTTCAAATCTCACAGAAACGAAACTTAAAACCACATCGCTAATTTGCATAAACTCAGCGAAGATAAAACTACAGCTCTTGTGCGCTGTCAATTTCTGTCAGATTAAAAGACATGACTCATTGGAATACAGGTTAGTGTGACCAGATTTGTGTTTGTCAAAACCAGGACACCGTACGGGGGGAGGGAGGTGGGGACTCATCATCGACGTTGCGCGACTCTCACCTAGTAAAGCTTTTTCCCACTGGACACCGAAACATATGTTCCTGCTTTGTACACTGTGCACATGGACTCACACTTGTCCCGAACGCAACGGAAAGCGTGGAATTATTTGTACAACTCATCGTTAAATACGCATTTGTGCTTCGGTACGCTGCAGACTGACCGAATGTTCATGTCTCGCTCCTTCTGAGTGCAGAGACACATGTACAGACCCCTGTTTGGTCACGCTACACACAGCAACCTACATTTGGTTTGTCGATTAAAATTAACGTAATCGACGAAATTCTTAATGATCAATTATCGATTAATCGATTAATCATGCCCATCCCTAGTAAGAGCACATGAATGACCCGACTATCTCCAACAGACCCAGTGTTTTTTATTTGTTTTTTTGTTTGTTTCTTGTTCCTCTTCCTCTCTCTCTGTGCATTTTGCTATTCTGAGTAGATGGGATTATCCTGTCATTACCCCCATGATGAGCGTGTGTGCTGTAGCCGCTGTGAACTGGAATAGAAAACTGTTCACACTCTCTCTCTCTCCCTCTCTCCTGCCCTCTCTCTTTCTCTTTACCGCTCTCCTTTTCTCTCTCCTCTCGCTCTCTTTATCCTCAGGGCCAATCTGAGGCAGGAGCATTTGGAGTAACTCTTCATAGCAATTAGCAGAAGGAAGTACAATATTTAAAGAGTTTGAATCATATTATTCCAGTGTTCTGCCATCATTTGTCTTAAACATGCACGAATCACTGGAAATACATTTATGTTTGACGACTCCTGTTGTCTTGCAGTTGTGCTTTGAGTGCTCATAAAATTCACCTTCCTACCATTTTCACCTACCCTCTATCTCCATCCACTGCTTTGTACTGCAAAAAAGTTAAGAGTTAAATGAGTTAAAATCCAAACATATAGACATTTTCCAATAAATAACCACCAAACACTAACATCCGTAAATAAAAATCAAATAAACATACATGAAAATCTGTTGATGCTTACAGTGACATGTCCCTAGGAAGGGGCGGGGCCTATCAACTCTGCAGTTCTGAACAGGAAGTCAGTGGAACTTATTATAATTAAACCTCTAATTTGATATTGCTCTTTACAACGAACAAAATGTAATCACTCTATCTATGTTATAGTTTAATTTCAAATATATCAAATACATAAAAACACATGTCCTCTTTAGCAAAGATCCCATCTGGACTCATGTGATATCAGGTCCATCATGTACACGATCATGAAGGGAGCTGCAGAGGGTCACTGCTCGTCCTCTCTCACTGAGGGGGGGGCAGGCTGGATGTGGCTGCCCATAGTAACAGCGTACACTTCATACATGTACTTATACATGTACTTACTGGATGGACCTGCCGCCTGTGAGCTGGACACAAGACTTACTGTAAGAACACTGGAGACCGGTGCTGTGGCTTATTCAGTCCGAGAATTTACCGACCTACAATTTCTGGCTCAGCACATTTCTTTCTTGGACAAAATAGGGCCCGAGAAAAATCACAAATTTACTCAAACATGCATGGTTTTGATTGGGGAATAATGTTATAACATGGTAGAAAGCTCAAAACATTTTATTTATTTATTTATTTTTCATAAAACCCTCTATTTAAAAATTTATTTGAATATTTATTTTAAGAAAAAGAAATATAACTTAAATAATATGATTAACTAGGTGTGGGCGATATCTCGATATTTTAAATATATCGAGATATTTTTTAAACTCAATATGGATTCTGACATATTATATATATCGATATAATGCTTATATTCAATTCTGATTTCGCCGCTTCACTTGTTTGCCTTTTCTGTCGTTGCCCCCGCGCAGACCCGCCTCCCTGATTTTGCTGATTCAGCGCACAAGGAAAGGACTGTTTATGCAAATTAGAAATGCACTTTTAAGTTTAGTTTCTGTAAAATGTAAACAAATGTGTCAAAACTGCATTAAACACATTATAATGTCAAACAGGCTGATGTGGCTCTAGAGTTTTTATGCTTTATATGTTGTAAACATTTAGTAATGTAAAGTTTATCTATGCAGAAGATTTTAATGAATAATCTGCTGCAGTGTAACTTGTACAATGGTGTTTGGAAACTTTGGGTTTCCAAACAGTAGCTTCCTACTGCTGGATAGGAACTTGGGTCTTTAAAATAAGGAACCTCCTGAGCTTCCTCTGCTAAAGGAGCTCAAGGTCATGGTTATTGTACAGTTTATTTATGAATGAAACAAAGGAAATATGTATTTATTTTATTTTACAGTTATTTTACAGTTAAATTATTATTTATGTAATTAGGGATTTTTGTAATCTTAAATGTTGCAGAAAAAAACAACCTTATGAATTTGGCATATTTGTTTTTGGAGTTTTCAGTTTTAGGGGGTTATTTTTTCCTCTACAGATATAGAGATATATAGTATATCGAGATATAGCAAATCATATCAAGATATATTTTCTTTATCCATATTGCCCAGCCCTATGATTAACAAAAAAAAAAAAGAAATCTTTGTCACAGTGGGCCTCGAGTGTGGTGTGAAAAAGTGGCTTTGTATTCTCTGTGTGTTCACTAGACCTTGGCAGACATATTGGATCTTGTATTCCTCAGTAGTCATTATAGTCATTACTGAGAGTTATGAGGCAATACATCACTATTATCATGTACGCTTATTAAATCAAATGTTTATTGACTCACACTGATTCATGCAGCTCATCAAAAGGTTCATCTGTCAGAATTATTAGCAAATAATAGGACAATATATTTGTACTAAAAGGAGCGGGGAGAAAGTGAAAGAAGCAGCCCGGCCCCTGATGTTGTGCAGCTGCCACACTCACAGCTCTTTAAACATCCAGGAGCCTGGAGAGCAAATGTATGACTTTATGTTTTTAGTCTTTATGGTCTGGTTTCAGGAGACTTTCTGACCTCAAGAACTTGTATATTATGAAGTGTGCATGTGTTACTAATACTAGTAATACTAATAGTATACTTTTGTGCATATATATATATATATCTCGATAGATATATAGATATAATGTTGTTACTCATTATTATTATTATTTTTTTTTTATGTTTAAGTACAGTTTGGTTAGTTGATTGTGTTGTGATAGCGCTCTGTAGGGGGAGTAACTTGGCACAGAGAGCAATGGAACATATGTGAATATAGCATTTTCAAAACAAAAAAAAGGCAACACTGAGATCTAAATATGTTACGTGAGAACAGAAGGAACTACAGACCGACACAACTAGTTCATTTTGAACTTTTTTGTTGTATTTTATTTTTTTAATGGAGATAGATTAGTGTATGTATTATCAAATAAATATCACGCCATTCACAAATACATTTCTTGATCTAGAAACAATTCATGACTTACAAATAAATGTAAGAACATTCACAAAACATTTCTCGACTCAAAAGAAAATGTTATGCAATTCACAAATGTCGTGTGCAAACCTGCACATGCACAAATGTGCCAGTCACATCAGCTGAATTTTGAGCTTACGGTTTATGGTTGACAACATTGCACTACTATTACTTTAAAAAAGTTAAATTATGAGGATATAAACACGTTATTTTTACAGTTGATGAACCACCTTCCTCCACCATTTTTGCCACTCAATCTGAAAATAATCTGTAACCTATGGACCTAAGTACTACTACTATGTGCAATAGAAGCATAACATTGTCAACAGTAAACCAAACGCTCGAACTTCAGTTGATGTGAACATTTGTGCGTAGAACAGTGTCAGGAAGGTCTCAAAAATCCACAGATAAATCCAGAGGTAGTCACAGATGTGTGCTGTGGTTTGTAAATGCAGGTTCATCTGTTTGCAAAGAAATCTAATTGCAGTGACATTTGTGAAGCTCCATAGTTTTTATTCCTCACTTACCTCATCACAACTTTCAGAGAGCAGTACAGAGTTTTGCTGTGACAAGTTAACAACAACATTAATATGTGTGTGTCTGTGTGTGTGTGCGTGTGTGTCTGTGTCTGCGTGTGTGCGTGTCTGTGTGTGTCTGTGTCTGTGTGTGTGTGTGTCTGTGTCTGTGTGTGCGTGTCTGTGTGTGTGTCTGTGTCTGTGTCTGTGTTTCTGTGTGTTTCTGTGTGTGTCTGTGTGTTTCTGTGTGTGCGTGTTTGTCTGTGTGTCTGTGTGTGCGTGTGTGTCTGTGTGTGTGTGTGCGTGTTGTGTCTGTGTCTGCGTGTGTGCGTGTCTGTGTGTGTCTGTGTCTGTGTTTCTGTGTGTGCGTGTTTGTCTGTGTGTGTCTGTGTGTGCTGTGTGTCTGTGTGTGCTGTGTGTGTGTGTGTGTGTGTGTGTGTGTGTGTGTGTGTGTGTGTCTGTGTGTGTCTGTGTCTGTGTGTGCGTGTGTGTCTGTGTGTGTCTGTGTGTATGTGTGTTACAGTGCCTGGCCATATGGGAGTCCTTCTTGCTGTCCCAGAAAGTGGACCCAGCTCAGCACCAGAACCTGGAGCCCTCCTCCTGAAGATCGTCCCACACACGTCACCACAGGGGCCCTGAAGTGCTCACCACTGCTGAGGCAAATGTCCTACCACCAGGGGGCCCTAAAGTACACAACCCCCCCCCCCCCCCTCCTGAAGAACCAAATCTCCCACTGCCAGAGGGCCCCTGAAGTTCATACAAACCCCCTCCTCCTCTTGTACAAGAGCCAAATGTCCCACTGCCACAGGGGTCCTGAAGTGCACTCAGCCCCTCCCCTTTAAAGCTTTAAAAGTGCTGTACATGATTTTTATTGTTGTGGAAAGTAGAATCAGTTCTTTATACACAGTTTAAAGTGGTCCAAAGTTATTCCTCACTTACCTTATGCATTCTGAACATCTGCAGTTTTGCAGTGATAGTAAAGCTAAGAACAACTAGCATGCTAACACACACTTCCTGATTATTGTAGCATAAGACATTTTATAATTAGATGCAGACAGTGTGCAGCAGACTTATTTTGACCTCAAGAGCTGCTTATACTATATACAGGGACAAGACACATTTTGCTTAAATGCATGAAAATAAATAAAATAAACATCAGGTACAGAGCCTTTAAGAGCCAAATGTCCCATCCCCAGAGAGGCCCTGAAGTGCACACGCCTCCTCTCGCACCTGCCTTACAAAGCCAGAGACCAAAGACAAGCATTCCACAACACTAGAGTTCACAAGCACAGGGAGGAGACTGAGGGGCTTAAAGTACATATGACAGGCTTTATCATGTACATGTGCTAAATACTGATCATAGTTTCACAGCATTTAAAGGAACTGAATGTATCCTGTGCTTTTACACTTTATAAAAATGTTCCACAATCACAACTGAACCTGTGTCTCCAGAGCCTTAAACTGCAGACAGAGACACTTCCAAGTTTCTCTCATTCTCAGTTTATGAACAGGACTCATGTAAAGCTCAGAACCTCCAGAATTACCTCCCTGAGCTGCAGAGGCCGCACTAGCACTGAATCAGGATTGACTGCAGGTGGTGGGGTTAAGGTAGTGAGACTCATTCTGCTTTCTCATTGGATAATCACCTTGACAACAAAAACACACCACATCATGCCCAATGTTTTAGTATTTAAGAATAAGTCAGCATTACATTTGTTATCAGTAAACGTTATATTTGATTTGAACATATTTTATATCTGGGGACACAGAAAGGTCCAGTTTACTCAGTTCTTACATACAGTTCCTTAAAGTGGCAGACCATCCAAAATGCAGAGATTATTTATGCACAAAGAAGGCACTTTCCCAGCATTCTTCCCTGTCATATGCACGTTAAGGTGTGTTCCACTAACTGTACAGATACCTTGAATGAACCTTTGTTTACTAAAATAATTGTAAGTTTAACTTTTATTTTCACTAAGATGCCAAAACACAGCACTTGTTACCATAGCAACCATAATAACATGACTCAGGTGGGGAATAGTGTCTGTGCTTGGTGCTTGATCAGATTTTTGAACCAGCAACCCTTTGTTGACCAGACCAATATGCAAGCCGCTGCACTTTAGACACGTAACTAATGCACCATGATCATTAGTGGAGATTTGTAAACATTTTACAGACTTTTTTTTTTCATAAGGGAATATCTAGGACAGTGAAATAAACATGCACTAGGTCCAAAATGTATTGTTGTGAGCTTTAAGCCATGTCATAATGCTGCTACCTCCTCAAAGACATATCTGGAGTAGTTGTGTCAATTCCAGGTCTGAAACTATCCAAATGATTCTACTGAAGTTGTATGGAATTTAAAAAGAACTAACCTAAACCTACATTAACACACACGTGCAGGGTTTGTGTGTTAAACATGTATGAATAAAACAAAACACATCTCCAGGTCTGTTTGTGATGAGGAAAGTGCATAACAGATCAGACAACAGCATAACACAGGCCCTTCTGAAAAAATATGCCTTTTAAATAATAAAATATCAGTCAGATAAATCAGATATAATTGTCCCTTTAGCACTGGAGAGTTTTACATCTCTGTGTATTAAACATTTCAGCTTGCATACATTTCACCATTATGTGCCTTTGTTGAAAAACACTATGAATAAATGTTTCAGAAATTGGACCTGAGACAAACTAATTAACACTACGTTGCTAAATAAAGGGACTGACTGTTCATTATTTCTGCAGAATTTGAACCAAACTGTTGTTTTGTAAATATGGCTGTGCTCATTTGTAACTGCTCCTCTGAAATATAACCTCTGGTGATGGTGCTAGCTCGACTGATTCAGAACACCTTCAGTTCACAGCAAAAATGATAAAGATGCACTGTGTCACTTTTCTGCTTATCTCCATGGAGATGTTATTGCTTTGCCTGGAATGTTCCAGAGTATTGCATTACATTTACCCATGTTGTATTTGTTCAATTACAGGTCTTTCAGCTGCACATTAATTTCTTCAGTGCGCTGTGAGCGTGCTCCCCTCTCCACAGATCTGACCTGTAACTTACTCATCTGTTTGTCGTCATGGATAATGATGAGTTTGCCATGTCATACTGTGAATAATGTAGGCAAAGCAGTAACAGCTCCACAGAGACCAGCGGGTGTCACACCCACCACCAGAACAGTTACAAAGTGCTCCTTTAAATGATCGCTGTGATTACGGACGCACCCAGCTTTAGATTTTGAAGCTTTTGCTTATCTGTCGATATCACCAAATACAACTGCTGAGACTACGCATTTATGTAAGCATTTATCTCCATTTATTTCCTTAAAACAAAAATGAAATAGAATAAACCTGGTCTAAATGTATTCTGTAGCTGTTTTTATCTCATTTAAGTACACAACAGTTTTGTGTAATTAAAAGTGAAACCATCAGGAGATGTTCTGGTTCAGCTATGAACAACACAGTCATCTTACATTCATTCATTCATCAAGGATATCAGCAGAACTGATATCTGGAAACTGATCCAGCACATTTTTAAGTATCTGTGCCAATATCCAATACCAGTATCAGATCAGTGCATTCCTAGCACTTATATTAGATTTTTTCCTATTACATGAAACGAGTCACACGAACAAGGTGATAATAATAATAATGATAATAATAATGATAATAATAATGATAATAATAATAGTGATGTTTACGTTCCTGTTTGTTTCTGTGAATACTTTGTGCATGCCTCTACATTAGCCATGTGATGTAAACCAGCTCTTCTACCAGACCAGTCCTCTTACGCAGGGCCAAGACATGTCCACTTTAGTTTCACAGTGAGGACAATGGGACGAGCCAAATACACAAATAATTATTATTTTAGTCTATTTCTTGGGTAAAAAGTCACATACTGTAGCTTTATAATAAAGTGATGGCCCTTTGAATACCTGCAGTAACATATTAGATTTTCCTATACATGGACCAATCAGAGTACTATATTCTGAATATTTTGAATACTCTCACACAGCTGCATTTAAATGAAAGGATAAAGATGGAACGTGGGATGAAAGACACCTTCAAGTTTGTTTCCAGTTTGTGATGGATGTCCTCTCACAAACTGGAGACAAACTTCATATGACAGATATGCACACACTATTAGACTGATTTTTGTTTGTTTGTTTCCTTTCACTGACTCTGTGCAGTTTGAAGCCAAAATTGTGTAATCAAGTACTGTAATTTCAAAAAGTAACTGTATTCTGAATACCACCAAATGAAAAAGGAACTGTACCAGAATACTGATAGTCAGCATTAGTATTCTGAATGTGTACTCACAGTACATGTATTCAGTTATTTCCCAAATACTGACCCTATTATTCTGGCCTCCCCTAATCTAAAAAATGCAGTTTCTACAATATGATATTATAATGCAAAAACGGCTTCTTCCAATTCCGAGAGTCATCTGCTTTCTCTCTCTCTGTCTCTCTCTCTGTCTCTGTCTGTCTCTGTACACATGTGGGATCATGAGTACATACTGTAGATATATTTTGACTCATAATTATGGAGAATTATGAATAATAAAGTCCCATGTGATGAACAGTTTGGGTGCCACAGGGGTACGGTTTGGACAGTGCCTTGTGTCTTATTTAAGACTAATCCTTTTGTACTGATGTGATTTTCAGTGTGTTTTTGTAAAATGATGCAGACCATTGTGTGACATAATAAAGACTGAGATTACACTGAGGCCTGCTGCTGTGTTTCTTCTGCACTAGAACATGAGACAGGAGAGGACTCGACAAATACTCAGTGGGGGATGTGTTTAAGGGGAACCAAGTCTAATGTTATCAAGTGTGCTGTCAGTTTAGTTCCACAGGATTTAGGCTGTGTTGGTTTAATCCTCATTTCGAGCTTTAAATATAATACATGTAGAGTGGCTGAGCACTGCTCACAGCAAAAACGGCCAATGGTCACATTTTAATACAGCACTTCTCCACCTTCAAGGCTCAAAGCATTTTACAGCAAGAATCCACTCACCCACTCCCACAGGCACTGGGAGTGAAGTGGGTTAAGTGTCTTGCCCAAGGTGAAATCACACCACCAACCTGTGGCTCTGACCACTCAAACAATGATGTTTATGTTGAGAGCAGGATTCAAACTGCCAATCTGTGGATCAGTGGATAAAAGCTCTACCAACTGAACTACTGTCGCCCCACGCACAAAGCGACTTCTGAGCTGCCCGTTCCTTTCTGTGTGGAGTCTGCATGTTCTCCTTGTGTCTGTGTAGACTTCGCATGATCTTCCTGTGTCTGTGTGGAGTTTGTATGTTCTCCATGTGTCTGTGTAGACTTTGCATGATCTTCCTGTGTCTGTGTGGCATTTGTATGTTCTCCATGTGTCTCTGTGTAGTTTGCATGTTCTCCCTGTGTCTGTGGAGTTTGCATGTTCTCTCAGTCTTTGTGGAATTTGCATTTTCACCCTGTGCTGAAGTGGTGTTTGCATGTTCTGTCTGTGTGGAGTTTATATGTTCTCTGTGTGTGTGTTCTCCCTGTGCCTGTGTGTGTGAGGAGTTTGTATGTTCTCCCTGTGCCTGTGTGGAGTTTGTATGTTCTCCCTGTGTCTGTGTTGAGTTTCCATATTAGCCATGTGTCTGTGTGTGATTTGCATGTTTTCTCTGTGTGGAGTTTGAATTTTCTCCCTGTGTCTGTGTGGATTTTGCATGTTCTCCCTGTGTCTGAATGGGTTTGACCACAACAGGTCAAATCCTGGAGCTGAGGTGGTCCTGACCCATTCTCCAGATCTGGATCTAGTCCAGTCGGGGTACGTCCCTGAGGCGTCTGCTCATGATGAGCTGATCCAGCATCACTGAAGGCTGAGCGGACAACAGCGGCTCAGGAACACTTCTGGAATTATCTTTAAATCATATCCAACCAAGAAGTCAAATTATGAACTAGAATATAAAAAATGTTAAATGATGTTAACTATGTTTTAGTAAAATTACACACACACACCAGAGAGAATAAATAAGTCATGAGCAGTATTTTTAGCGTGAGCGTGTGTAAATGTGTTTCATGTGTTTGATGTGGGCTGTGTAAGTAGGTTACACTGAACACTTAATCATATGAAATATTCACAGGGACTCTAAGCAGAAAGGCCTCGTAAGCGCCTTTTACACACAAACACTAACGCGTGTTTGTGTGTGAACATGTCCGAGAGAGAGGGAGCGAGGAGGAGGCTGGAGAGAGACAGAGAGAGAGAGGGTGGAGTAAAGAATGAGAGATAGTGAGGGGGAAGGGGGAGAGAAGGGAGGTGGAGAATGAGAGCGAGACAGAGAGACCCGAGAAGGAGGAGACAGAGAATTAGAGAGAGAGAGAAAGAGCTAGAGAAAAAAATAGAGAAGGAGAGAAGGGGGAAGGTGAAAATTAAAGAGAGAGAGAGAGAATGGGGTTAGAGGGGTGTCAGGGAAGAGTGAGAGTGAAGGAGGGGGAGGGGTATAGAGAGAGACAGAGAGAGGGAGAGGATAGAAATCTGTGGAACTAATTTTGCCTAAAACATTCTCACTGCCACTGCTCAGTCCTCCCACTGCTGTGTGTGGCCATGGTTACACAGAAACATTCAAATTAGAACTGTTAAACAAACCTGTAGTTTCAAAGCTGGTTCAGATCTTCTCTAAAGCTCTTCTTCTTCTATCACAAACCTGCTGTTAAGAACAGAGACTGAAATGTCCCCTCCTGTCCCTCCCTCACAGACCCTTTCACATGGTCAGACCTGTTCACATAAGTAGACCTGTTCACATGGTCAGACCTGTTCACATGATCAGAGATGTTCACGTGATCAGACCTGTTCACATGATGAGACATGTTCACATGGTCAGACCTCTTCACATGATCAGAGATGTTCACGTGATCAGACCTGTTCACATGATCAGATCTGTTCACATGATCAGACATGTTCACATGGTCAGACCCGTTCACATGATCAGATCTGTTCACATGGTCAGACCTGTTCACATGGTCAGACCTGTTCACATGATCAGAGATGTTCACGTGATCAGACCTGTTCACATGATCAGATCTGTTCACATGATCAGAGATGTTCACGTGATCAGACCTGTTCACATGATCAGATCTGTTCACATGATCAGACATGTTCACATGGTCAGACCCGTTCACATGATCAGAGCTGTTCACATGATCAGACATGTTCACATGGTCAGATTTGTGCACATGGTCAGACCTCTTCACATGATCAGAGATGTTCACATGATCAGACCCGTTCACCTGATCAGACCCGTTCACGTGAGCAGACCCGTTCACGTGAGCAGACCCGTTCACGTGAGCAGACCCGTTCACGTGAGCAGACACGTTCACACGGTCAGACCTGTTCACACGGTCAGACCCGTTCACACGGTCAGACCCGTTCACACGGTCAGACCCGTTCACACGGTCAGACCCGTTCACACGGTCAGATCTGTTCACTGTGGTTCATCATTGATCACTGACACAATATTTCATATGTGACTGTTGTTCGTCTACAGGATCCTCCAGATGAGCTCCTGACCATTTGGAGCTGGAGAGACTCGCTGCTCCTGACAGGTTCATGGCAGTGAAGGATGGGTCAAATGCAGAGAATAGATTTCTCTCTCCCAGGAGCAATAAAGTATACTTTATACCTTCTTTGTATAGGGGACTTGTATTCTTGCCTGGTGGCGTTGCCTCCTTGTCTCTGTGGAGACAGATGATGAGATACAGTGAAACATTGCTAACAAAGTAATAACATCTCCATGGACACAACCCTAGAGCTCTTTTAAGGTTGGAAAGTTCTGAGGACAGACACAACATTTGAGAGAGATATAATGTGGATGAAGATGATGTTACATGTAGATATGATGTGTTACGTGTAGATATGGTGTGTTACATGTACATATGATGTGTTACGTGTAGATATGATGTGTTACATGTAGATATGATGTGTTACGTGTAGATATGGTGTGTTACATGTACATATGATGTGTTACGTGTAGATATGATGTGTTACGTGTAGATATGATGTGTTACGTGTAGATATGATGTGTTACGTGTAGATATGATGTGTTACGTGTAGATATGATGTGTTACATGTAGATATGGTGTGTTACGTGTAGATATGATGTGTTACGTGTAGATATGGTGTGTTACGTGTAGATATGATGTGTTACATGTACATGTGTGAACAGAGCAGATGTTTCATGCAGATATAATGTGGATGGAGATGATGTTATGTGCTGATACAGATGCTTTATATAGTGCTGACAGTGTGTGTGTGTGAGTCACGTTGCGCTCTCATGAGGAGGTGTACATAGCAGACATCTGTTCATTTCACCCTCACACCTCTCACCATTAGCACTGCATTAGCCTCTGTACAAACACAGATGCTCGTGAGGACAGCGTCTGCTCTCACAGAAACATTTCTCATATTTCATAGCGCCAGTATAACTATGAGAATTACAGCTGCACTATAGAACTTTTCTACTTTATCCAAAAACACCACTGATACAATGTGTGTGACTCATCGTTGTTTTGTGAAAAACCTTTGTTAAAGGGCTTATCTATCCAAGTTATAATGTTGTTTTCTCATCAAAACTCTGACATGTGTGAATGGAACATTATAATCCTTGTGTTTCCTCACCGAAAACATATTTGGAGCTTTTTTTTTTTTTTTTGTATTTTTTTCCACACATGTTTGAGTAATCTTTTATTATTAGTCTGTCTACATCTCCAAAGCTCAAAATGCTCTGTTCCACCTTGTGATGTCATGTAGTGTTTGTTTTCTGCTCCTTTAAGCTTTAGTTCAGTAGAGATTGACAAATCCAGGGCTGGAATGATCCAAATGATTCTAGTGAAGGTGTTAAAGAGTGAAGGAGTTTAAAAACTCAGTGGAGCACTTCCTGTAATACCCACATGGTGGAACAGAGTGTTTTCTGTTTGAGCAAAGAACTCATCTTATTTATGCAGGTTTGTGTGTTAAACATGTGTGAATGAAATAAAACACAACTCTGAGTTTGTTTGTGATGACGAAACAACAGATCAGAAAATGTGGGCACTTTAAATTCTTACATGCAGTTTTACAAATCAAGAGTAAGAAATACATGAAAGAATATTTGAAATAGTGGTTGGCTCATAATCATCATAAGGTTGGTGGTTTTAATCCACTCAAGCTCGTTCATTCTTTTCTCACATCCTTGGGCAATACACTTGGAGTTGGGGCAGGTTGTCGGCTACAGAACTAGATCAGCAGCACTAACACTCTGCTGGAAGCTGTGAGATAGTTACATTGTTGCCATGGAGATGATTAACAATACAGCACCTGCACAATGACAACACCACGGCAACATGAGTGACACTCGTAAGGAGGACGAGGAGAAGGTGGAGCAACACATCTTTGAAGTTTGCATACAGATATTTTACTCTCGAGAGAACAAATGCATTCTACACTTGAGAAGTTAGAGCTGCACTATGGCACTTTGTCTCCATGGAGATCTTATGACTGAGAATAAGACTCTGACTCAGAATAAGATGGATGGATAGATGGCACTGTGGCTGAGTGGACTCATGCCTCACAGCAAGAAGGTTCCGGGTTTGATCCCCAGGTTGCCCATGCTTTCTGTGTGGAGTTTGCATGTTTCTCCCTGTGTTTGAATGGTTTTCCCCATCAACCCAAAACCTGCTACACTGGTTCTCCAGGAAGAACAGCTGATAGTCAAGGTGAGTTAAATACAATCAATCAATGAACCTGCGCAGGGACGACAGGTGGAAATTAGCACTGGTGCTACAACCTGGTACAATGCATCTATGTTAAGGTTAATTTAAAAATTGTGTGCTGTCCCTGTCTCATTAAATAAAAAAAATTAAAAAAGTAAAGATAGATGCATGGAGGTAGTTTGGGTGACTGTACTGCCCTGCAAAGTCAAAACACGGTATCATGGTCAAAAATGAGGTCATGTCATTTTAGGGGTATTTGAGTCCTCCTTCATCATGTGCATATGGGCCCAGTCAAGCAGAAGTAAACAGCAAGGCCAAAAATTCAAGTGAATGCATTTGATATAAAAATGTATTGAACAGATACATATGTACTCTAGTTGACCTTTTTTCTGTACCAGTTTTGGTTCTAAAGTTATATACGTTTTAAACAGACCAAGTATTCAGAAGAAAAAAGCTGACAAATGATGCAAAATCACACACCTTCTACTTCCCTCCGTTACTTTTCCCTCTGTTACCATGACCTTTCTTAATAAAAAATCTCATGACTCAAAAAGTAAGAGGTTTTTCAACCTAATCTTGTACCATATGGTAGAAAACTATATGAAGCAAATATTCAAACCAGTTTGTTAAGGATATGTAAGTGAGAACCAAGAGTTATCACTGTTTGTATTTATTGCCCAAAAAGTGCTGCATATTTCATTCCCTCCGTTACCAACAGTTTTTTAATTTTTTGTCAACAACTTGAAAGAATATCACAGGTTTAACTTGACCCTGTTGGAGTGTAACTCTTTCCTACATTCTGATACTTTACTTATTTCAATAGTCCCTCTAGTTTCTGAATAAGAGCTATTTGAATGTCAAAAATCTGCCCCTGTTTCCCTCTGTTAACACTTGACCGAACCCATAAACATTGTGAAAAAAATATTGAGCTCAAAATTGACCTCAATCCTCATAAGGCAGTTCCTTTATCTGTCTTTGTATTATGAGCCAAAAACAGTGTATGTTTTGTTTGTGATTTTTTTGTTTGTTTAAAATCCAGCCTTTCGCCTCCTTCTTTTTGTTGTGGCCTTGACACAGGGTCTTAACACATTCAGTAAATAAACCTTTGTATTCAATGATACTTCAGTGATCTTTAAAGTGAAAGTATTTGGCATATTTACATACTGTACACACTCTACTGCAAAGTCACTTGTGTCAAACTGTTGACATGATCCTGAGCAACACTAAACAGAAAATCCAAAGCTCTTCTAGATCATTTCAGACAAACACATGATGACTGGAGCTTGGTGACGTCTTTTTCTTATAATGGATGAAAGTCTGGAGAAAATCAAGCCAATAATGATCATGTCACTTTCTGCCTTTGACCTTTGCACAAAAACTTATTTTAGGCTCATGACACAAAGACAGAGTACAGGAAGTGACAAATAAGGGTCAAAGGTCAATTTTGAGCTCAGTATTTTTCACATACAAATATTTCTTCATTATAGCAATGAGTTGTCAGATTTTGGGAGCCCGACCTATTCTACTTTTGTCTGGACAAAACAGAAACTTTGAATTCATTTTTCTCAGTTTCACACTCTGGACAGTTAAACTCTTTTGCCTTCGTAGGGCAGTGTAGCGTGAGTGTTTGTCCACTTATCCAAAGGTTGGCAGTTCAAATCCCACTCCCACAGATGAATGCTGTTGTTGTGTCCTTGGGCAAGACTGTTAACCCACCTCAGCCCAAGTGTGTGTGCACTGGTGTGTGAATGTGTGTGTGTGCACTGGTGTGTGAATGTGTGTGTGTGTGCAGAGTTTGTGTTTTGAGAGCCTCGAAGGTGGAAAAGCTCAACTGTAAATGGTCATCATACTGTGGAATTCTTTAAGCAAAGCAATAACACCATGGAGACAATTTAGCAGCAGCCCTCCATCAGAACAGGACTTCTAATCATATACCTGATTTATGGATGTAATATTGAAGAAGGCAAGGACAGAGCTGTGCAGTCCAAACTCAATACAAACAGCATTACACTGATGAGGGCACACAAAAGCATGTTATAATGGTATAACAGAAGAATGGAGCCTTCAGAGCAGCCTGTGTGTGAGCCTGGGTACTGAAGCTGGATCAGAAGTGAATGAGTTTGTGCTGTGATTCAGAACTGCTCATGTTTGATCATCTCCCAGATCTCCACAACCACAGAAAGTCTTTGGTCAAACACAGCCTCAGACTGGTCTCACAGAATCGCCCACCGGCTGCTTCCAAACGTAACTCATTATAATTGTTGAAACCACACAAAACCCTTTTAGAATTTCTTTGCTGTAGCTTATGTTTTAAAGACTGAACTGTGTTTGCTGAGGCGGCGGTCACCCACACGTCTCCATGGAGATGCCGTTGCTTTGCTTGGAAAACTTAATCATGCAGTAATTTAGCCAATAACAGATGATTGTATGGCTACAAATTATCTTGAAAAACTGCATTCTTACTGTAAGTGGGGGTCATCTCTCCACAGATATGACCTGTCACTTGACTTGGTGGTTGTGGAGATAGATAAGTTTAATACCATACCATGGAACATTCCAGACAAAGCAAAGCAGATAAGCAATAAGTGTGTTACTTTTCCAGTAATGATTCTATTACAGAGATTTCATTGCTTGAGAACTTCACTTCTCTGATGCCATAGATGAAAGAAGACCACCAGGTCAAGTGACAGGTCAGATCTGTGGAGAAATGACTCAGCTCACATTAACAAAGCCTGTTTATTAAGGTATTTCTGAACCATTGACTAAATGAAAATGTTTTTTTTTAATGGCATACTGGCTTAACATTTCAAGCAAAGCAGAATGTCTACATGAACACTCATCAGAAATGTTACATAGTGTGCTTTGATTACCTTAATCTGAGATAGGGTTTTATATGGATAGGCCTAGTAATGGCAGAGATATTGACCATAAACCAAGCCAAAACCTTTACAGTCTCACCAAGAAGCAAAAAGTAAGAGGAGAAGAAGATGAGTAATAACTACACTATAAAACTGATGTCATTTTGTGTTTTTTATTCAAAGGCGTCATTTTTTCTTCTGTTTTGTACAGTGTAAAAGGTCACAAAGTACTCCAGAGAAAATAGATCAGACAGATATCAAATACACATGTAGAAATCATGCATGGAAAAACACAATTCAAATTCAAACAAATCTGCAGAATTCTGAGCCAAAATTTTTACCACCAAATGAAATGTTGAGTAATATATTTCAGTGACCTGAGTCTCAATAGAAAAGACACTTAATAAGATGAAAACAAATCAAATATTGTATATAGTATTAGTGATAAAGATATGACAAACTACTGAATACAGTTAAAGGTCCTAGAATATGCAAAACTGACTCATATGAGCTTTTAGCCATCTTAAAATGTTGCCATCAAAAACACACCTGGAGTGTTTGGTTTCATTCACACATTTGAGTAATCCTGCTTTATTGGGCTGTCTGCATCCCCAAAGCTTAAAATGCTCTGTTCCACCTTGTGATGTCATGAAGTGGTAGTTTGACGGTTAATAGGAAATTTTAGCCTCATCTGGACTGTGTTACTCTTCAGTGTGTGTTATTTTATTTTTTTATTTATTTATTATTTATTTTATTTCCCTTGTGGATCAATAAAGTCTGTCTAAGTCTACGTATTTTACTTTTTTATAGTTAAAATTGTCAATAGAAAGTCTCCCTGAGGAGTGAAGCAATTTCAGTGAGCCTAAAACCAGCTGTGACTTTAAAGTCAAGCAAATCCAGAGCTGAAAATCTTAAAATCATTCCAGTGAAGGTATAGGAAGTTTAAAACATAATTTCCTATATTACCAAGTAATGACATCAAAAGGTAGAACAGAGTTTTTTTTTTCATTTGGTGAAAAAAAACCTCTGTCTTAATCTGCAGAGTTTGTGTGTTAAACAAGTGTGAATGAAAAAAAACACAAGTCCAGGTCTGTTTGTGATGAGGAAACAACATTATAACAGATCAACAATAGTGCAACATAGGCCCTTTAATGCAGAGAAACTACACTTGAACATCACACGCCATAAGAAAATACTCCGTAGTCATGGAGACCAGACATCAGGTTTAGACATAATACATACTCATAGATATATTTCACATAAATATTTTACATTTCCCTTTTTTAATAGCAGAATGAGTGGATTCTGAGACGTTCATGAGATATGAATGACCAGCAGCGGCAACACAGCTCAGTTTAAAGTGCCGTTTCAATCCGTATACTCTTCTTATTTTCTCTATAAAAATAGATCTTTGCAGGGGTCATGGGTCCATCTGGGTCACACACAAAGCCATGTTATTGCTACAAAAGAATGGAATATGGCACGGGCCCTCAGGATCCTGCTGAGTCTACGCCAGCCTGTAGAAGACAGTGGAGAATGTGGCTTAACCGTAACATCTCTTCAAATGTCCCAAAATAACTGCATATATGGCAACTGACCTCTGTGGTTGCCTTGGAGATATCAGATAGTACAGATAGTGATCCTCAGGTAAGCAAAATAGTTCTTTTAAAAAGTGGATCTTTGATTTTGTAAAGACATTTTACATTTGTGCCACCCTTAAAACCATTAAAGGTAGATTTTGAAGATTTTATATTTTTTTTCCTCTCATCCAGAATGTCATTAGGGCACTGTAAGAACTTGTGATATAACTACAAATCCCAGGATGCACCAGGCTCTGTAAGACTCCAGCTCACAAAGATACTACGGTTCTGCAGTATTCTCAACTTTAAACTGTCATTTTTGTCTTTTTTTTTTTGGAATTAAGAATTCATATCATCCCATCTTTCAACTAGAAAACAATCCCTTTACAGTCATTGCATCATGTTACACACAGAAGCATGTGGCATATGACCCAAGCCATAGAACGGGACACACCCTGGTGATTGTCTGAAGCTCAAACTCAAACACTCCATGATTCATTGGGTCCACAGGAGACGCTGGAGAGCCGGGTTTACACAGCTCACTGCATGGAATATACTATACCTCCAAGGAAGTATTTCTGTTCATCTTTTACCACAGACTTCACACTAGTATAAGGATTGCTGCTACACCTGTGTTTCCCTGAACATTATTTGGCATTTGAGGTGTCGACTATAAACATTTCTCTTGCCTGGCCAACCCAAACCTCATGCATTTACAATATGTTAAAGCCATTTAGTCTGGAACTGTACAGTTCCTGATTTCAGATGCAGTGATTGACAGGTGGATTAACTAACCACAGAAACATGTGCGAACACAGGGGACTGAGAATAATCAGGATTTCCACAGAATCAAGATGTGAAGCTTTGAATGCAAATGTAAATTTGATGTGAAAGAGTTGGCACACTTCAGGGTTTGAGTCCCGAATTGCCTGGGCCTTTCTATGAGGAGTTTGCATGTTCTTTGCATGTCCGGTTTCCTACACCAACTTAAAACATGCACCACAGGTCAGATCCTCCAGCGAAGGTAATCCTGACCCAGCCCAGCAAGAAGATCACGGAGATGAGTCCCTGGGTACGCCATGTGCTGCCCACTGCTGCTGAGGAGATGCCCCAGCAGCAAAGGACAAATTTCCCTATGAGGACAATAAAGTACTTTTCTCTCTCTCTCTTTATTTGAGAGTGGCTGTGACTGGACCATCCTAAAATGGCATTGTTCCAAAGGATTGGGTCGCCAGGCAAGATTACCACCATTACCACCTCTTGAAATGAACAGAATATTCTTTTCAGCATAATATTTTTCACCAGATTTAGAAGCTCAGTTTACTAAAGCTTTGCCACCTGATTTTCAAACTATTTTTTTGCACCACAACAGCACATATACTGTTTGAGTGCACTCCTTTTCAAACCAATAACACAAAGTTCAGTTATGAAGGTTTGGTCTTTCCCACGAGCACCCTTGCACTGTACACACAAAAACAAATATTTAGATTAAAACATATTAAATAACACTGGACACATAATATCTTTGTGGAAATATGTGTGCCACGAACTATAACAGCCTTTAAAATTCACATGGATACATATTTGATATTATAGTGACAGAAAAGAATCAAACCTGGACTTTCCAACATCCAGGGTAGTATTGTATAAACCGTGTTTTCTGGTGGAGTCTCACTGGAGGGCAGTGAAAATAAAACTATGTGTATAAATCATTTTGCCATTACCATAGACTGTATATAGAAATGGACACAGCTAACTTGCTAGCCGCCGTGTTTCAAATTGAGCATAAGCGGTACTTCCAGCTCCATCGACTCTACATTGACTTTACATTGGAATATTGTGGGCCCTCTCTCTGAAACTGCTGAAGTAAAGGCCCTGTCACACATTGACGATTTAGCCAGCGTAATGCCGACGTACCAGAATTTCTCTAAAACACTGGCATACGCTGAACCATCCATGTTTTTTTATTTTTATTTTGGGAGTATATATAGCATATTCATAACGAGCTGGATGTATACATAAGGTATTAGTAACTTATATTGAACGTTTTGATAACTTCTATATAACTTAAACCAACTAATGCTGAGTGTGTTGCCAGTGTCCACAACTTATGCCCAACGACCTGTGCACAGCGCACAGCAGCGTATCACCGACGATCACATGTCGTCGCCTATTAAAAGGCTGTCGCTCGACAATTTAAATAATATATGATATATCATCATATCAGTCTCTCTCTGTCCATGGTGCTGAATGCAACAGATCGACTGATAGGTCAGAGCAGCGGGATCTGTCTGCGGACCACAGGCTGTAAAGTTGTGAGCGCGATCTCGTCAGCTGTTTCCTGTCTACAGTAAAACCACTCACCACTGCACTTCTACAGCTCAGAGCTCTGCACTCCTAGTTTAGATACAAGACAAAACTGAGTTATTATTATTTGTGAAATGTGGTGCAAAACTTCAGATACATGTTTTTTAAAGCATAAAAGATGGGGGATAAAGTCCACAGGAAGTAGAGTCACTATCACTAATCTACAGCTTCACACGCGTGCTGGACATAAACAAACACACGTGCCACTCTCGCCTTTTTACTTTCTTCTTATTGAGCTGGCACAATGAATTGATCGGTTATTTATTTAGGCTGTATGCTGTTCTCCACAGATCACCTACATGACACTCTTTCCCACAGCTCTCAGTGAGGACATTTTCCCACTGTGTGAGATCCTCTGTGGCTGAAGTTTTCTCTGATCAAGTGTTTTGCATTGGTTCATATGATATATGGGAGCACAAAGTCTGGAGGAGAACTGACGGTTTCCTCCCCATTTTTATACCAATTCTCCAAAACGCTGCCAACACGCCATTATACTGTAACTACAAGTTAGAAACATGTTCAGTAAGTTCTGCGGTCGTCTGGAACATGTCAAATACGTCTGCATACGTCAACATGTGTTGAAGATAAGTTCGATATAAGTTACACATAGGCTCAAAGCTCGTTACTCATAAGTCATGTGTACACTAGACATTTTCTCAATGTATTTGGACTTATGTGAAACATATAATTAACGTGTGTCAACGATCACATAATTTACCTACAACTTATGGCCCGCGTGTGCAGGACGTATAAACATACACTGACATACGTCGAAAAATTTTCAGCATGCTCAAAAATTTTCAGCGATCTTGCCGTATGTGGCCGTATGCCAGCGTGCTTCAGCGTGCTCAGAACTTACACAATACTTACCTAGAACTTATCCGACGTACATCAGTGTATTTGCAGAATTTTTCATAAGTCGGGATACACTGGCTAAATCGCCAAGGTGTGTCAGCGGTATGAGCCTCATCAATTTGGTCTTCAAAATGTTTGCACTAACCCGCACTGCATGAACCTGAAGTTTATATTTCATTTATATTTTGTCCATAAATACATTTCTATTCCTAACAGGAGCTCCAAATTTGCTCCTATATGCTAGCATTGTGAACTTCATTTGAGTGGAGCTGAACTCTTTGGGTCATGTTAAATTCCCTTAGTCCACTTCTTTATACAGTCTATGGTCATTACCCACAATTTTGACAAAGATGTCCATTTCCCCAGCCTTCTTCCTGTATGATATAGAAATGTCATGGTCTCTTGTACAGACTTTGGTGTGATTCTCTGTGGGGTGACTGAGGTTGTGGTGAGTGCAGCTCCTTGAGTGCATATGCCTGTCCAGGTGAAAGCAGAGCTGGGATGGGCCAGTTCACAGTGGTCAGGGGCCAGAGGAGGAGGAGCAGGAGATGCATAGATGGAGGAAGCAGAGAGTTCAGTGTGGAGGTCTTGGGGTCAGCAGAGGTACAGTGACCACCTGTCTCAGTTTTGGTTGTCACTTAGGCCTTTTTCCCCTATCCCAGCAATTTAGATTTCCACATTACCATAACTTCTAAAAAATGACAGACCATTTTGAGAAGAACATTTGGAAAGCTGAAATATGACATTTTTTGTATTCCATCTTGCTGGATAAGACAGTTCAGGGAATCAATGCTAACAAAGTCCCAGTTAAAGGTACTGTATGCAGGTTTAAAAGAATATGAAATCTGTAACCATTTACTTTTTACTTAAGTTGTTATTACTAAAATCATTTAAAAAAATAGTGAGGAAGAACTTTGGACCATTGCAAACTGTTAACAATGAACTAGATCTGTTCATCATCTTCATCTTTTTAAGACAGAATTATTAAAGGGAAAGCCTGCATATAGTACCATTACACTGACTTTGTACAATCTGATGAACGCCCATCACTGTCCACAAGTCCCAAACAGCCTAGTCAGAAGAGAGGTCAGAGGAGAGGTCAGAAGAGATGTCAGAGGAGAGAGGTCAGAGGAGAGGTCAGAAGAGAGGTCAGAGGAGAGAGGTCAGAGGAGCACACTGGAGCAGACAGGGAGGAGGAGGGGAGGGGTGTGGCTCAGTTCTGGTAGTTTGGTTGGACGGTGAAGAGTGTGGACGTCCAGTGGGTCTGCCACACCGCCGACTCCACGTCATGTGACCTCAGCGAAGGCGATGTGGTTCTGCAAGAAAAACAAAGACAAAGTGTTAGGCTGGTCAAGCACACTGGACCACACTAACCCAGAGAGGAGCAGAGGAAGAGTCTGGACCAGGAGAGGAGCAGAGGAAGAGTCTGGACCAGGAGAGGAGCAGAGGAAGAGTCTGGACCAGGAGAGGAGCAGAGGAAGAGTCTGGACTAAGTGAGGAGCAGAGGAAGAGTCTGGACTAGGTGAAGAGCAGACCAAATCAGTGTAACACTCTACACGTCCCATGCACAAACTGAAAGAGGAAATATGAGAGCAGAAAGTGTGATGAAATGTGACTCTTTGACCCACAAAGACAAGAGCAGGTTTGTGACACAGGCCTGTGCCTAGACGACTGGACACTAAGGATGTCACACCTGTAGTGAAATATGTCTGCCTCAGGAGGTTCACACACAACTACCGTATTTTCCGGGCTATTAGACGCGCTCTTAAGCCTCTAACCCCATTAAAAAACGACCGCGCGCCCCGCAAGCCAGAGAGCGCCCTACACAAGAATTCACTCAGGTGTCCCAGCACGACTTCAGTAAACTACAAAACCACACCACCCACAGAACACACAAACACACACAGAGCAGACAGTGACCGCGCAATGAAACACACCCACAGACACACTCATCACTCCACGCCGACGAGGAACGGAATGGAGGAACGAACCGAAAAAGTGAGTGCAATGAGCCACTTCTAGACACAACTGAACAACTGAGTCACTGCAAACACGCCGACAATCCGTTGGTCCCAGACAGCACCATCCCTACACGCCACAACTGAACAAAGCCCAGAGTCACCGTGAACGCCACAAACAAACAAAACCACTCGTTCGTGCGGTTTATTTGTGAAAAAAGTTTGAAAATAGATGACAGTGCGTCTTATAATCCAGAGCACCTAATAGCCCGGAAAATATGGTATTTGTGTCAATGGTAATAGGAAGTTCTCATGTGGCTCTTCCGGCTCTTTCTGACTCTGGCTCCCATTGACTTACACTGGGATCTTGTGTCTCCTCTCTTTGTGACTGCTGCTGTGAAGCCTCGTCAGTTTAGTCTTAAAAGGTTTGTACTAACCCGCTCTAGATGATTCTGGGGTTTTTATTTTTGCTATTTTGTACTATTGTAACTCACACTTACTTTTCTTTGGTCGTTTAAGAAATCCTATTCGTAATATGGAGTCTGGCTCCACATTGGTGGGTTTCAGTTGACATCACAACATTCTATAGGCCAAGAATATTTAATACAGATAAGGCAGCTAAAATTCATACAGTTAAAATGTAGGTTCTGGTTTACTTTGTGAATAAACTTTTTGGAAATTTCATGACAAAATAGAATGTTATTCATAGGGAAATCTGTCTCTTCCCCCATCTGAGAGTATGATATCATCACATTCTAGTATCTGAAAAATAATTCACTCGTGTACCTGCTGGCATCATGAACTTCATCTGGGTGGAGCTGAATGCTGTGGATGATGTCACACTTCTTTAAACAGTCTACGGTCAGCGTCAAGGTCACTCACTGCGAGAATACTCTCCACAACTGAAGCATACTGAAAGGTCTTGAGTGTTCATATCACTTCTTACAACTTCCAGACTACTACAATTAATTCTACACAAGGACTGTAGACATTTAGACCCAAACAGACAAATGTCACACTGAAATGTCCTATATTACGCATAAATGACTCTTGTGAGCTTTAAGCCATGTTAGAATGATGTTACCTCCTGGAGTCCTGGAGTTGTATTTTGTTTCTTTCACACATGTTTGATTTTTATTCTTTTTTTATTGAGTTTAATTATGAGACAGGGACAGGACACAATATACACTATTATATATAGAGATCAGAACATAGTGTAATGTGGGACATTTAAGGCTACCTTCACACTGCAGCCTGAAGTGACTCAAATCCAATTTTTTGGCCCCTATGTGACCTGTATTTGATCTTTTAATGACAGTCTGAACCACACAGATATGATTTTTTCAAATGTGACCCAGGACTCTTGGATATGTGCTCCTAAAACTGATACATAGCTGATCTTCTGACATGTGACTTCAGTCTGAACGGCCAAAGCACATTCATTCGACCTACACGTTATCAACAAGAGACAAAAGTACTCAAACGTTCTTCTCGTCATACGAAAATTCTCAATGAACTCCGTGTCACTGAAGTGAAGCACATCGCTCTCCCACCACTCTTGGCTCTGTCTCCACATCCACGCGTTCCTTTCAGCGGACTGTCCCACAAAACACCACGGCCAAAAACCTCGTCCTTCTCCTTCTCAATCTCCTCCTTAAAACAAGTAAGTTGTTCATGTTCTGGCTCCGGTACGAGAGGAACTTTAAAATCTCCAGGTGCTCGATGCTGCGTCCATGTTTGGACAACTTCTGTAAACACAGAGACGCTCGCTGCGATTGACGTCATCGTGTCTCCAGTGCACATGTGGGACACTTTTGGGCTGTTTAATGTTTGTTTAATGTAATGTTTGGGCTGTTTAAACTGGAGATCACATACAACGCATTTAATTGGAAATGTAAACAACCTCGCAAAAACGTCGGATTTAAAAAAAAATCCGAATTGAGCATTAAGCCTTGCTGTCTGAACGTAGCCTAAGTTACTCTTCCTAAATACTGTTTTACTGTTGTTCTCTTACATGTCTTGGTCTATGTACTTCTTCTTGAGTAATATTATTTCAAAGTAACATTACTTGATACTTGATATTTTTGGTTAATACACCACCCTTGCCACTAACAAGAAATTGCACACAGCCAATACACCAGAGTAATAAAATCCTTGGCCCTGGAGTAGCAGTGATATTATGTTCTGATAAGTATCTGAATGTTTGCTCTCCTCACGTCTGTGTATTGTTGTGTTCAGCCTGGGGGTTTGGATGCCTGTTATGTCTTAATCTCCACTGCCCGGCGCTGCAGCTCATTTTAGACACCACATATTAGCATTTAGATGGAGGATTAGCGCTCAGATGGGCCGTGTTACAGTTTAGCTAAAGGCCCACAAAGAGTCCGGCATGCGATTAAAACCTCGTTAAGATCTGAGCCAAAGCACCCAAACCATTCTGTGCTTTCTCATTTCTGTGCGGCAGTAAATACAGGATCAGTGTGAGGGCTGCTGTCAGGTCCTGCTCTGAGATGGCCACTTATTTATAGACCAAGTACGACTGTAACTCCCTGTACTGCCAGGGCTGAGATAGTACTTTCCCTTGTGTTTCTAAAACCAATGAATGAACAAAGATACTCCATTTTTATACAGGGACTTCTCACGATCCTGGCTCTAGATGTGACGATCTGTTGGGAGGAGCAATGCAAGAATAATTAGAATTGACTAACAACTGAAAATGTGAATCATGGATTAGATAAGCAAGCCCCATTTTAAAGCCATAGTATGTAACTTTATGCCCCAAACAGACTAAAATAAAAGCATGTTTTATTGTATTTATTTTTTTTCATTATGGGTGATTTATTGCAGTGGTCCCCAACCTTTTTTGAGCCACAAACTGTTGTCTGACAATATTTCGCGGACCTCTTAGGGATAATATTTTCATGGACAGCGTATGGGGGGGACACGGTCCACGCAGGATATGGGAGGAGGCATGGCATGGCATAGTTTAGTCTTGGTTAAATCCTGGTTTAGTCCTGGTTTAGGCCTGGTCTAGGCCTGGATTAGTCCTGGTTTTAGACCTGATTTAGACCTTGTTTAGTCCTGGTTTAGTCCTGGTTCACCCTTGCTTTCTAGTTGTGCTTTAGTTCTGGTTTAGTCCTGGTTTTAGTTCTTGTTTAGAGGCAGAGCCCAGGCGGCGTACAAGAGGAGGCACGGTCCATGCAGCGTATGCGAGAAGACATGGTCCATGGCGTATGGGAGGAGGTGTGGTCCACAGCCCGGGGGTTGGGGACCCCTGATTTCTCTAGTAGAACTCATGCTTTTTTTATTGTGAGGCAGACTTCTGCACAATCCTGACTCTCTGCTCTCACAATTAGCATGCTACTTTTGTGAGCAATGGCTGACACCCAAATTCTACTCTGGTCTTTTGAGAAATGTTCTTATGAACTCATCACAGTGAATATTTAGGATACTAGAGGCAACTGCAAACAGTTATTACAGTAAGTAAGTAAATAAGTAAGTAAATAAGTAAGCCTTTATTTATATATAGATAAAAACAGATAAAACAAAAAATCACAAGGTGATTTTTCTCTGTTCTAAATGTTGTTCATTGCATTTAGAATAGAGAAATTACACAGTCAGCTAAAAGCCTGTCTGAAAAGCGTCTTAACAGGAAGCCAGTGCAGTGAAGATAAAATTGGTGTAATGTGTGTTCACCTGTTCACTCTTGTTAAAAACCTGTTTAAGATACTAAAAATCAGGTACAGAGGCCAAAGTATGTTATCTCCCAACTTGCACAATTTGATTTAGATTTATTTATTTATTTATTTTTAGAGCAGGGCTGTCTAATCCTCAGAGACACAGAGAGGAGGGCTCGCTCGGCCTGTGGGAGCATGAGAGTGCAGAAGACTGTGGACATGAGCAGCACACACAGACTTCAGGATGTTCTAATGTGTTTCCTCTATGCCTGACCACACATCAGCCTCATCCAGCTATGTTCTAGTGATACTGCAGTATGTGAGTGGCCATGTTATTGTTATTCATGGGTTTCAAGCGAAGGCGACCATCCTCTGCGGTCACAGCAATTAAGCAATTCAAATCAAAACATTATATCTTTTCAATGGGGAAAGGTCGTCACAAAGTCCTTTAAATCAGGAAGGAATTGTTTGTCTGAAACTCATGAATACCTACTGATGAAGGGGAAGAGCACGGTCACTATGGTAACCACTCACTCCAAACCATGAGTAGCCATATGCTGCCGCCTTAATCTGTAGCACAAAATATCTGTATATCACATTCCATGAGTCATACATTAGCCCCCTGAGCATGTAGCTGGTGTTTTGTCATTCTGATCCATACATTATACTAGTATAAAATGGAGAAGTTACTACAGAAACTATTTAAGAATCAATATCATTTAAAACAAACTGATCATTCACCACGAGTACATGTTCATTCAAGCAAATGAATGAAGCCCCTGCTCATAGTGACTGTTGTGTTTGAAGGGCCCATATCAGACTATATTCTCATCTATATACCTTGGGTTTTGTGCAGTTTCATTCACACGTCTTTACCACACAAAGCCTGCATAAACAGGCTTTATTCAGAAGAAAACAGGAAAAAAACATATGTCTCTAGGTGGTAACACATGTTGAGAGAAACTGAACACAACTCCAGGTACTGTATGTTTTTGAGGAGGTAACGACATTCTAACATGTCTTAAAGCTCGCAGGGTCACTTTGTGGAATGTTCTATGTTATATGACGTAATGATGTGTTATTCCAGCATTGTCACTAGTTTTACATCTGCATAAAAAGCAAAACATGTGTCCATAGACTGTAGAGCAGAGCACAGCACACAGAGTCACACACAGGGAGGAGGAGAGAGGGGGGAGGGGGGGTTGCCTTTTCCTCCTGAAACAGAAGAGCCAGTCCAGGCCCCTGAGCCACTCCACAAAGCTTATGACCTTCTCCCTCAGGTCCCAGCTCTGTGTCTCCTCACTGTCCATCTCCTATGAACAATACCACTTTACATGTAAGCACGCAAGCAAGCGAACGCACACACACACACACACACACACACACACACACACGTACTTGCACACACACACAAACTCACACACACACGCACACACACACGCACATGCACACACACACACACACCCACACACACACGCACACTCACACGCACACTCACACGCACACACACGCACACACACACGCACATGCACACACACATGCACACACACGCACACGCACACACGCACATGCACACACACACACACATGCACACACACACACGCACACACACACTCACATGCACACACACACAAACTCACACACACGCACACACACACGCACATGCACACGCACACACACACGCACATGCACACACACGTACACGCACACACATGCACACACACACAAACTCACACACACACGCACACGTCCACACACACGCACACACACATGCACACACACGCAAACACACACGCACACATTCACACACACACACACACACACACACACAGACACACACACACAATCTGAGTGTTTATTAAGTTGACAGTGTAGGTGTAGCTTCTTAGCACAGAGTGGAGAGGCAGAGCTCTGAGAGGCTCACTAAGGCACTTGACACAAGTGTAAGTCATTATCATTATCATCACCACAAATGATACTTAAATATAACTGCCTCCTACTACAGTTAGAGTACTCACTGTGCAGGTGTTTGTAAGGCTGAGTGTGTGTCCTGTGTGTCCTGGACAGCGTGTACATGTGTTGCTGCTGCAGGCTTTGCTCTCTCAGTGTGTGTGTGTGAGTCTGTGTGTGTGTTGTGTTCACGTGCCTCAGACTCTGCTCTCTCCATTATTTATCAGGACAGGGTTATTTGTGCCCCGTGTTCCTGTTTTAGCTGCACATTTGTCAGTGGTGGGTGTGGCTCTGACCTGGGAGGACATGTACTTCTCCAGAGGACTCTCCACGCGGCCCAGGTTCAGTGCAGCGGGGCTGGGCACCTGCTCGGGGACAGGCGGGTCCTCACTCAGGAGCAGCTTCCCCTTGAAGTTATGCACCACACACACCACCTGGGGGCACAAGCGAGCGCAGAGTGAACAGGGTTAGAGTATGTCAGAAACATAAACCACACATGTACTTTTAGCTTCTGGATAATTCATTATTCCAGATTTTCAACCCGTTTGGAGTCCTAAGCCCTGACATTTTCAAAGTATGTATGTTTGTATGTGTGGCTGCACTGTTGTGTTGTTCTATGAATTATATGTGCACGTTTGAAATCAATATTCTAACAAACTAAGTACCATTTTATGTGGGATATTCTCCTGTTGTTTGTAAAATGGCTTTGATAAAAGTCTGATGTATGATGTATGATCATGATGATGATGTATGATGATGATGATGATTTGGTGGTATTTACTTCTGCGTGTATTAAATGTGTGCATTAAATGCTGATGCATAACACATTTCAATCACCGTGTTAGCTTTTATTGTTTTGCAGATGCAAAATTTGCCAAAAACAACATACTAGCATGTTTTATAAGTTTCACTTTCATGTTTTATGTTTCCCCTCCTTTGATAAGAATACTCAAACATACATGGATGACATCTAAAACCTCTTCAGGCATGTTTTTGATGAGGAAACAATGCTATAACATGGCAGAAAGCTCCAAAAAAATCTATTTTGCATAATAATCCACTTTAATGTAAGTGTGTGGAAAAAACAACACTTTCTTGCTGGGAAATGTGAGCATCCCAAAAGGTTCCTCTTAACATTTCTTTGTGGAGAGCTTTATTTCTGATCTGCTCATCAGAGTTTCGAATAAACACGAGCAGATCAGAATGGACAGTACTCACACACTACTGAGTGTCCATGTGTCCGGGTCATGTACTGATGCTAAATACACTTCCTCCGCCTCTCTGCATAATGAGGGCTGTTTGAATTATTGCTACGATCTGAGAGGGACTGCATTTATAAAACAGAGGAGATGGAGCAGGGAAAGAGGGGAGGAGAGAGAATGCATCTACATGAACGGCTTTGGAGAAGAACTATTGAGAAAAAAAAGATTACAAGTCCACTTTTCTGGTGGAAAGTTGGTCACACTTAGTATTAACGCTATCAGTTCTGTGTTATTCTTTTACACTGCGTACAAGCATATATTCTTATAAATTTGCCTCACAACAGATCTGACAGAGATTCGTAGAGACGCATTTAATGAAGATACATGCCCTTCTGTGGAACATTCCAAGCAGGTGGCTGACCCTCTCTCACAAAACTTGTATAGTGCAACTTCAAAGAGAGTCTCTTCAAAGGAGACATGTGTATGTTTCCTTCTCACTGAAGCTGTATTTAGAGTGATTTGTGCATGTTTGACTCATCTCTATTCTTATCTTTATTCAAGACGCCATTGCTCTGATCTACCCACGCTTACACACCCATGGTGTATTTCTTCTGGAAGGTCTTTTGCTACATTTTGGTGTAAAAAAGCAACTCAGAGGTTTGTAGCTAGCTCCTTATTTAACTCCGTCAGTAGCCTCGTGCTCGTCTAGATATGAAAAAAAAAAAAAAATCATTTCGTTTCACAAAATCCAACAGTTTCTTACTTGTGTCTTTGAACTGCACATGCTGCACTTCTTAGTTGGTTAAAATTCCATGATATGATGTGAAAAGCTCAAAAACCCAAACGTTTAAGAAAGTGCTGAGTGTGTGACGAGACAGCCTGTTTCAGATGAATATTGTGAATTCTAACATAATGATATACTCATATATAAGTATAGAGCAGACACATGCACAGTCTGTCTCATAACCTTCTGCCCATAAACAAGATCATACACTACAATAACACTCACTATGAAGTCAACTCATCCAAATGTACCATGCATTTCAAAGGCAGTAATAATGAAAAGCAGAAGTGTTTTCCCAGCCCCTTAGAGGTCGTGGCTGCCCCAGAGGATTGTGGGTAGTGGTGGATGTAGGTCACACTCCCCGTGGCGCTCTAACAAGCAGAGGATGTGCTGTGAGCCTGGCATGATGCTAACTAACAAGATCAGAGGGTCAGACGGAGCAGTGCATTCTGGGAACTTTACACCTCCTTGTGTCAATGAGGAACAGAGCTGCGAGACCGATCACAGTCCAATCAGATGTCAGAGCTCGCAACGGGGGCCAGGATTTCAGTAAAATCATGTTTTGTGCTAACAGTGAAATCTCCTGTCTCCATGTGCTCTTGTTCTGTAGAAAACCTGCAAACCCTGTCGTTCTGAATCTTTAAACACGTTCTGAAATGATCTCTGTTATTTCCTCATCACAAACTCACCTGGAATTGTGTTTTGTTTCGTTCACACATGTTTCACACATTTAGTCTGAGTTCTTCTCTCAAACAGAACATCAACATACAATACAATACAGGAAGTGCGCTACTGTGTTTTTAAACTCCATACACTTTCACTCGAATCATTTGATGATTTCAGCCCTGGACATTCCAATCTCTGCTGAACTAAAGGGAAATTGTAGCTGCTGACTTGAAATCTACCACTTCATGACATCACAACTCCAGGTATGTAACAACAGGAGGTAACAACATGACTTAAAGCTACAAGAGTCAATATAAAACTTTTAATCAAACGTGTACTCTGAATTATGTAATGATGCTCAATGTTGGATATAAAATATGATCCCAAATATTTGAGCTGAAATTGAAAACATAACTAATCTAATCTGTACTGTCAAAAGTTAACCATGAAATGTAGACTTATAGGCCCGGTCAAGCAAAATAAACAGCAAGGCCAAAAATTCAAGTTAATTCATCTGATATAAAAATGTATTGAACAGATACATATGTACTCTAGTTTATGAAACTGTTGACCTTTTTTCTGTACCATTTTTGGTTCTAAAGTTCCATATATTTTAAACAGACCATGTATGAAACATGGAACAAAAATTATTTCCCAAATTTCAAAGACCTGCAAATCATGTAAATAAATGGATGTATTTCATCATATCTTATGTTATTCCATCTTTGAACTGTTGATGAAGGTACATGATTTTTCCCAAAAAAATTTATTTTAAATGATAACAATTTGCTTGGAAGGACAGACATAGTAATATTAAAGTATTCGGAAGAAAAAAGCGACAAATTATGTAAAATCCTGCACCTTCTACTTGCTTGCACAATTTTCCCTCTGTTACTTTTCCCTCCGTTACCATGAGCTTTCTTAATAAAAAATGTCATTACTCAAAAAGTAAGAGGTTTTTCAACCTAATCTTGTACCATATGGTAGAAAACTATATGAAGCAAATATTCAAACCAGTTTGTTAAAGATATGTAAGTGAGAACAGCTAGTTATCACTGTTTGGATTTATTGCCCAATATGGGCACCGACATGAGTTTTAAAAATTTTTTGTCAACAACTTGAAAGAATATCACAGGTTTAACTTGACCCTGTTGGAGTGTTAACTCTTTCCTACATTCTGATACTTTACTTATTTCAATAGTCCCTCTAGTTTCTGAATAAGAGCTACTTGAATGTAAAAAATTTGCCCGTTTCCCTCCGTTACCACTTGACCGGACCCAAATATATTATATTAATCCGAAGTTGTCTTCTCTGAGCACACATATGGTGCTTTGCTCATATTGTTGTGTCATACTTCTTCTCCCTCATAGTGTTTAAGTCCATAAACTGTCACCAGACACATTCTACTGTCAAACTGTGTACAACTCTATACTCAATACTTTCTTACTCAAAAACTCTCAAATCAAGTTCAAAAGAAATGTAAAAACCTTGAAGAGTGCATTCTAGAAGATCATTAAGTTGGTTCTAAGTAACATCTTAATGAAGTGTCATGTTGTGTGTGCAGGGGCAAAGTGCGGGGACAGAAGCTAAGCCCAGGCTGCTGCACACATTAGCTGCTAATGATCTGAGGCAAGGTCTGGCTCATCAGCACAGCTCAGAATATACTCTGGATCATTAGACAATAACCGGACCATCACAACAGCCAAGTCCATATGTCATCCCACTGTTAGCATGAGGGATTCAACGATAATCAATGTAATATCAAATTGTTCGATACTGGTCTTACGATTCGATACACATGTTCGGTCGATACACACATGTAACTTCGTGCTCTCTGTGTTGTCATTTATTTTGGTCTGAGAGAGAAACAGTTCTCTTGGCGTCCTCCTCAGATGCAGCAGAAAACAGCTCCACAGGGACTTACAGCAGAATATTCAAACAGAGGAGGGCTTTATCTTTTTATTTTACATTGATAGACCCAGAAATGACAAAGATATTCACTTTGTAAATATAACTGTTAAAATAATTTTGAGCTGAAAAAAAAGTTTATGATCTAAAAAAAGGTAAAAATCGCCACAAAATCCAACATTTTTGAAAGTTGTAGGTGCCCTGTCAGCTGAACACGAGCAGTTTGTGATGACACATTATCCCAAAGGCTGGTCTATGCTCTTTTTTCTTAAATGCATGTTTCCCACAGCGAACAGTCAGGACATTTCCCCACTGTTTGATGTCCTCTGTGACCCAAGTTTTCTCTGACCAAGAGCTTTGCACCTGCTCAAGCATCTTATGCAAAGTATAATAGGCTGTCACATTCATATTATTCATGTTGGAAAAGCTGAATGTTTGAAAAATAGTAAAGTGTCGCTACTCCAAGAATGAAAAAAAAACAAAAGTTGTTGGATGCTTGAAAAATAATGTTTATGCTGCTATTTGGACAATTAGATGTGAAAGTCTAAATAGCAGCGTGTTGGAATAGCAGCATGGAACTTCCAGGAAAGCGTCTGATGACGTGTATGCATGTTTGTGATGTGTTGGCCTGTATACTGACAGCATGTTAACGTGTGTCAACGTACCAGGAAAGTGGCGATGGCGGTCCCGATGATGTAGCCTGCGATCACGTCAGACCAGTGGTTGCGATACTCGGCCACACGGTTGAGTCCGGTGAGGAAGGCCAGGCACATGAGCCCCAGAGACAGCACCGGAGACGCCAGACGAGTGCCTTTGGATTTCACCACACACGTCACGTACATCTGAGGACAAACACAGGCTCAGGTCAGGGACAAACCCATGACATACAGGATTTATACAGCACACTTTGATTTATTTGGGGAAAAGAGTCGCTTCTGTAAGTATATCAACTGAGTGCACATTACATTTGAGATCAAGAAAGAAATGTGAACTACTAAATCGATTTCCAAAGCTGCCATATGTAACTTTTAGAAGTGGACTGTCAACTACCGTATTTTCCGGGCTATTAGGTGCGCTCTTAAACCTCCAACCGCATCAAAAATTGATGATTGTGCGCCCCACAATCCAGAGCGCCCTATACACAAATCTACTCGGGTGTCCCAGTACGACTTCAGTAAACTACAAAACCGCAACACCGGCAGAACACGCAAACACACACAGAGCAGACAGCGACCACACAGCGAAAAACACCCATAGAACACGCAAACACGCACGGAGCAGATAGCGACTGCACTGTGAAAAACACCCACAGAACACGCAAACACGCACGGAGCAGACGCCGACCACACAGCAAAAAACACATACAGAACACGCAAACATACACGGAGCAGATGGCGACCATGAAGTGAAAAACACCCACAGAACACGCAAACACGCACGGAGCAAACGCCGACCACACAGCGAAAAACACCCACAGAACACACAAACATACACGGAGCAGATAGCGACCATGAAGCGAAAAACACCCACAGAACACACAAACACGCATGGAGCAGACGGCGACCGCGCAGCGAAACACACCCACAGACACACTCATCACTCCACGCCGACGAGGAATGGAACGGAGGAACGAACTGAAAAAGCGAGTGCAATGTGCCACTTCTAGACACAACTGAACAACTGAGTCACTGTGAACACGCCGACAATCCAGCGGTTACAGACAGCACCCTCCCTACACGCTAGAGCCCGACCGATATGGATTTTGTTGTGGCCGATATGAAACCGACATAATGGGAGTTGGAGCTGCCGATAGCCGATATAATCACCAATATATTTTGTGATGTAAAAATTCACTGTAAATCTTGAATTGTTTAAAAGACTTAGGTTTGGCTTTAGTGGATTCTAAATTGGGTTTATTTAGGCAACATTTATTGTTATTCTGACTCTTTACGTCATATTTACAGACAGTAGATTGGCCTAATGGCATTTTCGCATCACATTCTAACTACTAGTGATGAGTATTCCAGTTTTTTTTTTTTTGGAGAACCAGCTCTTTTGGCTCGGCTCACTAAAGCAGCTGGCTCTTTCGGCTCCCAAGCGACTCTTGAGATTGTTTTGTTGCAAGCAGGACTAAACCAAAACTGAACCAGGACTGAAAAAGGACTAAACCAGGACTAAAACAGATTTAAACCATGTGTGAAACAGGACTAAACCAGAACTTAACCAGGTCTGAGTGTCGGAACTCGGTCTCTCCCTCACTCGAGCCCAAGATTAGTCCTGGTTTATTCATTTTATGCTGAACTGCAGCCAAATATGCACTTTTTAAAAAATTTTATCCTATGCACACGCAGATTTCTGAAAGTTTCATTTTCAGACGCTGCTGCTGTCAAACTACGGGTCTACATGCGGCTTGAAGAGAAAAAGTGAGAAAAAGAGAAAACACGGCTCCCAATAAGAAGCAGGCTCCCGTTGTTCGCTTCAAAGAGCCGGATCTAAGAGCCGCTTCGATCGCGACCGACCCATAACTAGTAAAGAAACTACCACTATTAGCCTTTAGCCGTAAAAACGTGCGCACCGCGGTAATTAATTATACGCATAAATGTGGATCATTCACACGTCTATTCACAGCTCATTTACATATCAATGCAGGTCCAGTAGCAAATATACAGCCAATATAGTCACTTTACAATAGACCAATAGAAAACAGCCTGTTTATGTGCAGGAGCTACAGCAGCTGATCAGTAACAAATGACCAAAACTAGCTTCAAAGTCGATGTATTTCCAACACTCAGCGCTCACACAGGCTCCTCCTCACATCATAAGTCTGCACTAATAAAAGTCCTTTTAATCCAGACTCAAACCGATTGTCCGTAAAAAGAATATAATCTCAGTGTTGCACCGCTGCAGGTGTAAACAAGAACACGTGAGTGAAGTGACGTGACTCTGGGGGTGTGTTCAGGGACAGTACGGACACAGACACAGACAAGTGACACCGCAGATAAATACTGATGTGGAACCACATATTAGGACATTTATCTGTCTGTAAATTGGATTAAATGAACATAATGTAGAGAGTCTAAGATTTATAACGAGGTATAACATGCCCACGTGAAATATCGGCCCCTATCAGCAAGCATATCGGCTGATAGAAGATATGTCTCCAGGTGCCCATATCGGCCAGCCGATATATCGGTCGGGCTCTACTACACGCCACAACTGAAGAAAGCCCAGAGTCACTGTGAACGCCACAAACAAACAAAACCACTCACCCATCCAACTGTTGGGTTTCCTTTAAAGTCCGGTGCGGTTTATTTGTGAAAAAAGTTTGAAAATAGACCATTTAATGACAGTACGTCTTATAATCCAGAGCGACTAATAGCCAGAAAAATACGGTACATGATTCCAAATTAAAACCATACTTCAGAACTTTCTTCATGGAGATAGATACTTTTAATGCCATACTGCAAAAATATTACAGCCAAACAAACAATTGCCACAGTTGATTTATTTTATTGAAATTTGCATTAAAAAAGTTCCATACTGTGGCTTTAAGAGTAGCTGTCCAAGGTCCTGAAATCCTCTTATTCCCCTTATTTACACGATCACTGTCCCAGTCATTTCACTAACTGTTAGCACCTGGAGCGATTTCAACCGAATCACGTTTTGTAAAAATACTGCAACAAATGTAAAAGGCGTGTGTGAGCGAGCCAAGGGGATAATATATTTATACAGTACGCTTTCAGGGGAAAATATCTAAGAGTTGCTTCTAAATATGGAACTTTCACTTCAGAGTGCACATTGCATTTGAGATGAAGAAAAAATAAGAATTTCTAAATCAAGTAATGCTAGTCAGTACATATGTAGGGTTTGTTTATTTGTTTGTTTGTTTTTTTAAGGTACAGTACCTGATTTCTGGACATGGCATGCCACTTTTGGGTGAAAAAGTTACATAGTGTGGTATTAATGGTCAGTATTTCATAGCACAGATGTCTTTCTGATGTAGCTGTCCATGGTCCTGAAACCTCACGCTCCCGTTATTTATATGACCATTACTACAACTTTATTTATTTTAGGGGGAAAACACAAGAACTGCTCAAGAACATTACATCTTTGATCAAGAAAAAAATATGAACTGCTAAATAAAAAAAATAAAGCATAGCCAGTGGATATATGTAAGTTTTGTATGTTAATACTTTTTTACAGGTACAGTATACAACTTTCTGGAGGTGGCACGTCACCTGCATGGTTCCATGGAAACAGAAAGTGAAAGTCATACATGGAGAATATTGTCAATGGAGATAGATGAGTTTTATCCCATACTGTGGTGCATTAGAGCCAAAGGACATTTCTACACAAATGAGTTTTTCAGTGCAATAAACATGTGCCTTTATTTGTGTCTACTTGTGGGCTAAAAGTTTCATGCTGTGGTTTGAAGAGTCAGTACTTCATAGCACAGATGTTTCTGCTGTAGCTGTCCACGGTCCTGAAATCCCACACTTTCTTTATTTACATGATCATGCCCCAATCATGTCCCAGTCGTAAACATCTGAAGATATTTCAATTGAATCCCTGTGTAGATAACATACTGCACCAAATGCACTGCAGTCATGTGTCAGAATGATTATGATTTCATTAATTTGGATTAGATATGAGACTTCTGTGTTGCTTCCTGTTCTGTGATCCAGGCTGCTCCACAGAGCCACTGATCACGTGAGCTCATGCGACTGTGGTCATGTGACTGTGGTCACGTGTCATGTGTGTCCTCACTGGACACACAACACACAACACAAGACACACAACACACGACACACACACAACACACAACAACACTGGTTTGGTTCATGTAAAACTGATTTGATTAAACAAACAGTAAAAAAAAAAAAAAAAAGACTATTAAATGTGCTGTACATGAAGTCTAAAAACATGAAAGGCAGAACAGGTTCATTTAAAAAGGCAGTGCTCCAAAGATATTCCTCATTAACCTTATGCATTCTGAACATCCTAAATATTCACTGTGTGACTCTATAAGCACTTTTCTTCCCTCTCAGACCAGAGCAGAGTTTTGTCATGATTTTAAAGCTAACAGCAACTAGCTTGCTAATCACACTTTTCCTGATTCTTGGACGATAAATCACTATATAATTAGGTGCAGGTGATACACAGTGGACATGAGTTAACCTCAAGAGCTGCTCATATAATATTTTGATGCAGGCAGGAGACAGTAGTTATGTGGTGGAGACACTGACTCTCAGGAGGAGGTGGTGTGTGTGTGTGTGTGTGTGTGCGTGTGTGTGTGTGTGTGTGCGTGCGTGTGAGCGTGTGCGTGCGTGTGTGTGTGTGTGCGTGCGTGCGTGTGAGCGTGTGCGTGCGTGCGTGCGTGTGTGTGTGTGTGTGTGTGTGCGTGCGTGTGCATGTGTGTGTGTGTGCTTTGTGCACAGCTCCACAGCCCACTGACTCTCAGGGGCCATCACTGAAGCCCAATCACCGGCTGGTTGGGGGCCTTGATTCTTCAATTTTTTTTGTTAATTCTGTTAATTATGTAACTACACAGTACATGTCTGTCTATTGCAGCTATGTTTCAGGTGATATCACATTCTAGACCAGCAAGATTGAACACCTGTGGGCAGCTCAAATGATGCTGTAAAATGTTGTGTCCTGTAATAAAGCAAAGATCATAAGGATAGACACTAACAGAAATGACCAGGAGACATTGCTCGCTCCTGGGGTCTGTGTGTTGGGGCCTGGCTCTCTGGAGGTGTGGATGCATTCTCCTGCCTCTGTTCTCCTGGAGAATGGGAACTGACACTAACACACTTTTCTGTCTCCTTCTGTGCTGCTTTTG